CGTGGACAATAGTAAACCTGGGGTTACGATTAAAAGCGTCACGAAAGAGTTGTTTTACATAAGAAAAAGCAGAGACGAGGAAGGAGGGGGAGGGTGATTATGGCTATACTATGTTCTATAGCCAGGGGGATCCACAGTCTCTTGTTTGATTACAGTCAGAATGTGAGACAAGGCGTATTAAGAGAATTATTACTCAGACATCACAAGGGTCCCTCATCACTGTCTCACACATGCCTTTGAGGAGATACATTTCACACAGCCTGCGTGAAGCTGTGCACATACAGTGTATGTCTGCACGTGTTGTGACGTTACGCACATGCGCATCGCGACACACTCTGACTCGATGCTTGATATGGAAAGCATGTAAAACGCAGACACTTGCTCAGAAAACAACAAAAAAAACACACACACACAGCACTCTGGTATCTGCTTCCTGTGCCCCTGTGTTACTTTGTGAGGGAAGTTGTTATATGAGTGTGTACACGTGTTTATACGTATGTCTGTGGTTCTGTGGGGGTGAGTGGTGAGCACTAGCTGTCTCTTTTATATGAATTGATGCCTTTGTACTATGGGAGATAAATATTGGAGACAGAAGTAAATAACATAATCCCGCTATTAGGTTTTGTTCCCTGAGACATGATGTGTACTGAACACATATCACAAGGACATGACTCATGGGAAATTATATGAATTTTCACTCAGCTTTCTTCATATTTACTGCTGATGCACAAGCAATCACATGCTGTGTTTCCTTCCACCGCCACAAATATAGCATAGAGTGAAAGACGTGTAATCCAATTTCCTTTGTGCGTTATTGTTATTATTGGTAGATATCAAAATACATCACAAACGTGTTACAAATAATCACACTGTTTCATAGCCGAGAACAGCTCTACTTTCTATATGAACTTAGATGCCAGGCTGGTATGAGAGGCATTTTTAAGATGAATTAGCTGAGAACTATTTACACCTTTTTTCAGCAGTTCAACTCTTATTTCCATTAACCTATGCTCTGTGTCCAAATGACTTGAAAGTAGATTGGTGACTCATTTATTTCCTTTCCACTGCCGTCTGAGTCCTCTTGCATAGGCCAAACACCTTTTGAAGGCGGAAACAGATCTTGAATTGTTTGAGGTTTGAACTGGCTCGTTAACTTTCGCCATTCCTCCTCCATTAGGATTGTGATTACCGCTAAGGAGCTATTTCAATGTATAATTATTTGAATTTTTTAACCTTAGCATGAAGCAATTCTTCCAAAGAGATGATAACAAAGAAGCAAACCTCCTTAGAAGCCTTGCCTTACATGAGATTATTCCACAACAGAGCAGGGGATAGAAGAGGGCGAGAGGGAGATGGAATGATTCTTTTAACTTTTTATGAGGTAAATTATCTGAAACAAATCCCAAACGCGTGTTCTCTTACCATTTCCTCCTCCGTCACAAGATAAACAGCACCTGATAAGGTGCGTGAAACATTACCCTGATGAACAACCTTGTAGTGTCGACTGAACGTGAGGCCATTAAACATGATATAACAGACACACGCACTGTCGGTTTCCATTTGTCTTTCTGACATGAACACTCAATCCTGGTAAACTCCCATCGAGTCACCGCGTAAGTGGGGCTGCTGTGTGTGAGTTCTTATGCATTCGCGCTTACCGGCCCTCTCTTCTTCCTGTCTTTGTGTCTGCTATGGATCCCAGACCTATAACCCCTACTAGCAGTAACAACACTGAGCGTGCTTTGAATCGCACAAAGCCGTTTGGAATAAGTCTGTCCTGTCTATCGGTGGTGCTTGTGAGAATACCAGTCCATGCGCTCAGACTTTGTGATAGCTAATTGAAGTTTCCCCTTGGGCTGACTGTAGCAGAGATGCAATATTCAAAGAGCCTGCCCTTGTTTTTTTGCAGGAAAGCCCGGATGAGTTGCTTGCATCTTTTGTCATAATCAAACGCACACTACGCAGGGAAAGAATTCAGCACTGTCAGACTTGTGTTACAGAGGTGGAAAATAAGATTTGGTTCATTTCATGAATCAGAAAAAGTGAAGGAAGCTGCAACTACTTATAAACTAAAGCACCCATATCCACCTGAAAGGGTTGCCGGTTCTTATAAAAATCAGCTCATTCCTCCCTCTTTCACTGGATTGGATAAACTTTGCTATGACATAATAATAATGAGATTACTCTGAATTAGTGTCTGACATGCCGAGCACACAGCAGTGGTCAGAGAGGTGGCATTGTTTATGCACAACTCTCACTGGGAACTCTACATTCACATTAGGCTCTTTTTTCACACAGGAAAGAGGATTACTTTGCATCATAAACATGATATGAAAACCTCAACAGGATTATTTTAGACCTATTAAATAATGTGTTTGCCTCATTATATTTTCTCATTAATGAAGCTCTCTGAAGTATGGATGTATTTTGCGGCAGTGTGGATGCAAACCAGCCATTTTAAGCAATGCCAGGACAATTTTTAATCACACACACACCCACACATCCCTTTCCAAGAGCCATCCATTTTGCTGGGGAGTAGGAGGCTTCCGGAGAGTCAAAACCTTTAGTTTTAGCTTCATAATACTGTAACTCATGCTAACATTAGCTCTGTCTAAAATATATAGCTCATGACAGGGATATGCAGAAAAAGATACACAAATCAACTAGAAATCGTTATGGACATTTAATTGAACACTCTTTTTTTTCAGATGACTATGGATGTAGATTAAATGAAGTTGACTTGCAGAATGAATGTGCTTTAATGAAAGTAGATACCTCTTTGACTCACTGGTTTTAGTCGTGCGCCCTTTATTTTAAATCATGTGCTGAACAGCATTTCTTTTTAATTTTATTTTCGTCCCGACTCAAAACTGTCAGCCACTGAGACTTAGGACTTAGGACTTAGACTGAGGACTTATCTTTCATACTTTGTTAATGATACACCTTTAATGGGCCACACCGTTTCTTGGGAATTCTTTGGATGTTTGCCAGCCAACTCTAACCCACATGTTAAAAAAAAAACTGGAAGAATAATAATGATGTGCAGACTTTGTTGACACACATTCATTGCTAAAAGACTGTGTATTCAAGTGAATCTTAAAAAAAAATCTTTTGCTTTTGTGAGTCTTCTTAAAGCAGCTTCGAGCAATAAAAGAGTATCGATGCAAGATAGAGATTGCCCGCTCTTTTCTAGCCAGCTAAATGTTAGTGGTGGAAAAACACTAAACACGGGTTGTCTCTCAAACATTGTGACAGGCTGCGCAGCCAAGAATTTGACCGTGTTGAGTAAAGGGATGCAGGTATGGGAGGGGGGCAGGAGGGGAGGGGGCTAAGGTGAAGCCAGCCGGCTAGCCAAATCTGCCTTCAGCTCAGTGTCAAAACAGCCAGTCAGCTGTGTACACCGCCGTGTCACCTGCTTGTGTTTGTGTGTGCGCGTGTAGTTCTCTAGCCCCCAACAGGAGGGAGCACACAGTCATCTCCTCTGGTCAATAGAGCCTAATTCGCCACAGGTAGCAGCCAGCCTCAAAGGCGATTTCCCTTCAGCTCAACTGTGCTGAAGCCTTTCATCCACACCGTGGGGCCTCCAGTGATAGTAGCGGTTGTGTGTGTGTGTGTGTGTGTGTGTGTGTGTGTGTGTGTGTGTGTCGGGGAGGGTTTGGGTCTGCTATCAGCCAGACCGATTATCCAATGGAGGCAACAGATATGGAGGTGTTGTAGCCTGGGGTCTGGCTTCCTCTCCTTCGACGCAGACCGTCCTCTCACTCTTCCGCTCGGCTCCATTGTTTTTCTGAATTTCCCCCATCGTCACCATCTGCGTGTGGCTGTACTTTCCAAAAAATTCTTGCCACTGTCTCCTACGTCCTGCATCTGCTTCTGAACACCCCCCTCCCCACACTCCCACCCAAAACCCCAAACCCATAGTCCTCTTTCTGTCGTTCTTTCTCGTCTCTCTTCACCGCCGGTTGTACCATTGAGAACTGCTGTGCTCAACTCATGCAGTGTAACAGCACCTCTTCACATTCTCTGCATGCTCTGCAGGCAGCCTAATGGAGGAAATCAAAGTACTCAAATGCGATTAGATTCAGTATGCACATCGCATTCCAATCAGAGCTCCTCAGACTGATGTATCTTATCCTTTTAAATTCACTCAATAAGATATTTTTTCATTTTTTTCTGGGGGGGGGGTTGTTTATCAACATTTCGCCTCAAAATTTCTGTCATGTTTTACTTTCTCGAAATGTAATTACAGTGTTACTCACACTCCTCTAGTGTATCTCATGAAAAATGTCCAGGTAGTTTTTTCCTTAGTGGCTCATGTTAAATGTAAGGAGAGTGCTATTTTCTCCTTTCCCCAAGACCGAGACATATTGTTTTTGCCCAGGGCATTGCATGAGTTACGGCACACCTGCTTTATCGGAGTATGAGTCGTTGGGAGAAACAACTGGAAAATGAATGTCTGGCACCATGGCTATACATACAGGTCTTTGTTGCTCCAGTGAAATTTAATCAGCCATGCCACAAAGTCTCCCAGGCAAGAATGATTGCCAGACATGAGGATGTTACTGTAATTATCGTCTTGTTCGCTTCAGACTGAGTGCCTTGGATAAACTATAGTCGAAAGGAAAGCAAATATGCTTGTTGCACAAAGCACTTACAAGCAATTTACATGACAAGGCAGGGATATATAAGCATCACTCTACTGAACATGTTGAGAAAAGAAAAAAAAAAGAATGGGCTACCAAAGGGTCAAGCATTCAAAAACTGTCCAAGCATTTCCAGGAGGTTTATACAACATACATACCCAAGAGTCCCTCTTTAATGAGATGACCTCGTCATGAAACCACTGGTCAAAATACCGCTCGGTTGTTATTTCTATTGACCGTGCTGCATCATGCAGCATATCACATAAATCGTGGCAGTTATCATGTTTTCTGGACAAACGAGATGCTATTGCTCCCACCAATAATCCCCCCCCCCCTTTACCCTCTCTGTCTCCGCAGCACCAGCGCTGTCGGAAGCCACCGCGTCCATTCAGCCCCAGAGAACTACGGCCGCCCCGACCACCACCACGGCGCACTGGGGCGTGGCCAACACCACCACCACGACGGGGCTCCGGGAGGGCAGCAGGGGAGCGCCCAAGCCGCCGCCCGCAATTCCACAGACCACCTCTCCTCCTCCTCTGGAGTCCTTCCCTCTACCTGAGCGCTTCTGCAAGACCACTGAGAAAAGAGACATAACGTGGCCCCAGACCCAAAGGGGCATGCTCGTGGAGCGACCCTGTCCCAAGGGAACACGAGGTAAACAGGCTGCCTTTGGGCTTTGTGTCTTGCTGTGCTCACTATGGCTGAAAGCATCTCAAGAGGAAATCCAAAATGTGCTGGATCTGGTTGAAATTTTTCGCACACCGGGATATTTTTAGCTACAAAAGAGAGCCGGTGTCAGGGAGTGGACAGCAGACATGTGTTATATAGCTGTGTCATTCTGTGTCCAAACCTGATTAGGCAATGTGTAACGGCCGTGTTGCAGAGGAGCAGGCCCGCTTGTTTTTTTTTGTGTTTCTTGTTTCTTTTAGACCTGATATGGAGATGTGTATTCCTCTTTGATTGTGTGTGAAATTGTGCTCAGACTTAATCAGACACAGAGCTGATTAGTACAGACGAGAAACTGCTGCCACTTTATAGCAAAATCAGCCGCAAGGTGTTGCAAATATTTCCAGAAAACATTTTTACCCTAAAAATGTTTTTAAAAAATAGATAAATAGCAATTCGTGTTTTGCAGCATGTTCTTACTATATTATTAAAATAAACACAGACATACTGTCCGTTGTCTAATATTGGTACATTCACAACCTTACGAATTTTTTTTATTTACAGAAACGATAAATTCATATGCCTTTGATGGTTCCACGTTCCTCTGTTGTACTTTAAATTTCACGGAAAAAAAAGAAAAAACTCAAATAAATGGGTTTTCTTTTTCTTGTTTTCCCCGCCAGGCACAGCCTCTTATTTATGTGTTCTGTCCACTGGGGACTGGCACCCAAAGGGTCCTGATCTCAGCAACTGCACCTCCCACTGGGTCAACCAGGTGGCTCAAAAGGTTTGTATGAGCTCTGAGTTGCTGTTCACCTGCTTTGTGGATTGTGTTGGTTGTGAGGTAAACACAACAGGGACTAGTTTTAGTTTCAAAGATTTCAGTTCTGAATGGATTTCATCTCTTGATCATGAACAATCTGAGTCGGATCAAACTACAAATAGGCTATTTTTAGATAAAGAATCAGAATGAATAAATTCATGAAAAGAGATGTGACCAACACAACAATACTACATATAAAAAACTGTTGCATATAATATATGAAAGCATATTAACAGAAATATTTTTCCCTGGTTAAGGGGCCTAATTTGAGAAATTGAAGTTTTTGTACTTTCTATAGAATACACGCTTTGCATCTGTTTTTTTCCTCTCTCTTGCCACCACACAGTCCACACAGCAAAGGACCACACCAGAATCAGCCGTGCTTTAACATAGCATTTAAACGGCTCATTCAAGTGTGATTCAGTGTTGGAAACAAGGCTGATGAGAACCCTCCGAGTCTGTCTGCCTCCATTCTCGTCAACATTATTCACTCTTTCTCCTGCCGCAGATCCGCAGCGGTGAAAACGCGGCTAACTTGGCCAACGAGTTAGCCAAGCACACCAAAGGCCCCATATTTGCCGGGGACGTCAGCTCCTCCGTGCGTCTGATGGAACAGCTGGTGGACATCCTGGACGCTCAGCTTCAAGAGCTCAAACCCAGCGAGAAGGATTCCGCAGGAAGGACCTTCAATAAGGTAACCACAACCACCAAAAGAGTGGAAAATGTAATCAGCCTTCTCATTTATTCTCTTTCGCTGAACCACTCAGTAGTCAGAGTTTAACGAACTTTGAAACTTAATTGATAATGGTAATATCTAATTTAGTTAATCTATTAAAGTTCAGGGAGTGATTAAGAAATAACTGCTCTTGACATGTAAACATTTATATTTCATGGCAGTGTTTTTTTTTTTTACATCAAATGTGGTTACTACAAAATGGCCGTGATAATGATATGTAAGTGCTTGTAAAAAGCAAAATACTCTGATGAATATTAGCCACGGCACTTTATTTCTTAGACGTTCACATAAACAGGTCAGCTGCGCGAGGCGAGCGGGAGTGGCTGCTCCGGTCTTTTTGTTTGTAGCTTTTTTTTTACATCCAGACATGCTCTTTTTATTTTCCGTGAGCTCTTGAACGTGTGCAATTGACCTGTCTACGTTTTCATCTATTCCTCTTTTCTGTTATTTAAAAAGCTCCAAAAGCGAGAAAGGACATGCAGAGCATACATGAAGGTACTGAAGCAGAATGCTTCTGACCCCCTCTGCTTGCTGCTGTCCCCTCAATTCCTGCACTGCTGAATGCGCCCCGGCTCAAGTCCAGCAGCATGTATCTTTATGCACTGTCATGTACTCCCTCCCGCCAGTACTTCCTGCTTTTTTTTTAGTTTACGTTTAACACAAAGACACAATCGTACTCAAAGTGTTCCTCGAAGACAGAGAGAAGTCATCTCCGATTAGTGCGGTGGCTTCTTTTCATTGGATGTGTCTCTGTGTTGTTCTTCTTCCTAAGAATTTACAGTTATGATATGCTTCATCAGTCATCCTGCATTTTCTCTATTTTATGTCTGTGTTTATTTAAAAGTGCACGCCTGGATGCATAACACCACAGTTTAAGCAGAAGTTCTGTTTTACATCCCTCTCATTATTCATTAAATGGAGGATCTGCTGCTTTGGGGTAATATTTTTGCTTTTCCGCCGGAACTCAGTGCACATCACTTGCTGAGATATGATTCATTCAAAATCTTGTTTTTATCAGGGGCCGTCACCTGACCTTTTACTGCATGTAAGGTAAAAATGGTAGCTGTTGTTTAACAAGGACACAGGCTTTAGGTCATTGTTTTATTTGTAATGGCACAAAGTGGTTGCTATGGATTTTCTTCAGGTCAAACTATTTTTTTCCCCTTTCTTTCTTAAACGTTATCATAGTCTTAGGTTTGCGCAGCAGTGTTTTGGCCTCATGTGTCCATCTAGCATTAGCGACATCGGCATCTTGCACCTATCCCCCAAAATCCCACCTTTGGGAGAGAATTAGAAATGAAACAAGCTAATGAGCCAAAATGAAAAACGCTCATAACTGAAGCAGGAAATATATTTTTTAAAAAGCATTTACATAACAATACCATCCCCCAACCTAACATAATTTATCTTCTCCCTAATGTCACCAGATGTAGACCTGAACTCAGAGATGGTGACATTATCAGACAGAATTGTCAATCTAAATCACAACTTTCAATCTGGCCACTGACAGCATAAGAGTATGTGGGATGATGATTGTTGAGCCAGCATTATCTGACATCTGCCATCCTTGACACGGCGTCACATTAGCTACCACCCATGCACCGAACGTCCCCAGAATTGATTGCACGATTAGGCACATTGATTTTATTATTTCCTGAAGTTAGCTTTGCATCGTCCGGGATCGACTTAGAAATTTACCTTCTGTCTTAGGTTTTTTAATGCGAGGAAATGTTTACAGCTAGGACAGAAATTACACTGACACTTTTTCTCCGACCTTTCCGTAGCATTTCTTAGGGTTTATAGCCTTTTTCTCAGGGTGACTTAATGGCGGATCATACATTTGTACACTGAGCTTTGCAATTAGGAAATTTTAATTGAGAGCAGCCTTTGGTTCTTTTATCGGGGCGATCTCTTAATATCCCGTTATCAGACAGACCTGATAGGCTCAACACACTGCGACCCTAGGTGTTTGCCTTGGTGAAATGTCCTTGAGAAAGAAACTGAATCCTCACCATTAGTGATGTGCCTCTTCATCTCTCTCGGCAGCTCCTTCTTCATGGTCAATGCGTTTTTTCTTTTTTTTTTCTTTTCAAATAATGTCTTTGTGATTTAGTAAGTGTCTGTAATTAAATCTTCCAGTCCTGTACACATTCTAAAAAGTAAATGTTCATCTTAATTTTGATTCTTGCAGATGTGATACGTCAGTGCTTTTTATTCAACCTCCTGAATGTGTGCATGTTCCTGCTTTCTGTATGCTCACAAAGAGCTCATTGTTATTATTTTTATTATTACTATTGTTATTATTGTTGTTATTGTGGTTGTTTATTTTATGCAGTAACTCAAGATGTTTCCTCTCATGTTTTTTCTTGTGTGTGTTGCTTGGTTTAATACAGGCCATTGTGGACACGGTTGACAACCTTCTACGACCAGAAGCCCTGAAGTCCTGGCAGGACATGAACAGCACCGAGCAGACCCACACGGCCACCATGTTACTGGACACTCTGGAAGAAGGGGCCTTTGTCCTTGCTGACAACCTGATAGAACCTGCCATTGTCAAAGTTCCTGCAGATAATATAAGTAAGTAAAGCAGAGGGAAAAGGCAGTAAATGACAAACCCCTCAAAATCGATGCACTCTCAGTTAATTTGATTATATTCAGTTCAGTGCTAGAGTCACCTCTGTGAGGGGAAAACAAGGCCGCCTCATAAAAAAGGACGTTGTTTTCATAAGAAGTGTGCGAGCCCCGAGGGAGCGAGGAAAACATCCCATATTAGGTTTAACGAGTCGCTTACTGACAAAGTGATGAATATCAGACAATTAAATAGACTAGATTCTCTGATTGTGCTCGCTTATGTTATAAATGTACACGTCTAGACCTTGTAACTCTATACATTAATGTGAACATTAGCCTGCTGTGGAGTCAGAAAAAGTATATTGTTTATCCTCAGCTTCCCCTTCTCTCATTTTCTTCAGCTGGCAGAATACAGAGGGATTTTTTTCTTATTCTTATTCCTCACTAGGATTAAACGATCGCCTTATGATTGACATTTTTATTGAATAGCTCGCTCTCACAAAGATTTGGTGTTCACATGAAACATTCATGTATCCTTTGGTGTGCACACTGGAGCCGTTTGCATTGCGTATTGTCAGGAAGAGAACCCAGCCTTTTTTTTTGTGGGGGAATCTTTTGAATCCCACTCATTAATGAGCAATATTCCTTTCTGTTTTGTCCCTAATGTATCCTCTGACTCTGCGCCTGGCAGTTTTGGATGTGTACGTGCTCAACACAGATGGCCAGGTCCAGGACTTCAAATTTCCACAATCCAGCAAGAGTGGGATCTCAATCCAGCTGTCAGCCAACACCGTCAAGCTCAACAGTCGCAATGGTAACCATAAGAACGGGGCGAGCGGAATCAGTTAGCCTTGAAAATGTGCATGACCTGCTTCTAATCAGATGCCACTGAGAGAATGTGGGGACTGGGTGCTGTTTTTAGCATAAAAAATAAACACAAGAAAGAAGAACTGCTTTCAATCATGTTGTACTGATAGTCATCTTCTTAATGCTGCACATTTGTTTCATATTTCAAATTCAATCACACTTCAAATGTTCAAATGTTGGTCCTTTGTGGTCTTTGTTTTTATTCTTAAGTTTTTACTTCCGATATTGTTTACACCACTGCTGACGCTTGAACTCTTTTTAAATGTTTTTTGCTCTGCAGGAGTTGCCAAGCTGGTCTTTGTGCTGTACAAAAATCTAAGCCAGTTCCTCAGCACCGAAAACGCCACCATCAAGATGGCCAACGATGCATATGGCCGCAACGTGTCAGTGGCCGTCAACTCCGACATCATCGCTGCCTCTATCAACAAAGAGTCAAGCCGCGTATTCATTAACGAACCGGTGATTTTCACCCTGGAGCACATTGACGTGAGTTTCCCTGTAGGAATCAATGGAGGGGTCATATTAAAAAACACGAATAGGGAACAGCCAGTAGACAGAGTGCAATTTGAATTGTAAATGTCTGACTAGGTCAGTTGGCAGTTTATTTAAGTCACTGAACATCAAATTAAAGAAGTCTTTGGAACCTAAGTGAATTCTTAATGAAAACTAATTCTTTAATCAACATTGGAATATAAATGATACCCATTTTCTTTTTCAGTGAGGGAAATTAACTCCTAGATTAGCCCTACAATCTAGGATGAAATTACTGGAGCACCAATTATCTTTCTTCTTTTAAAGTTGTCACTAGAGTTCCCAGAGGGCCATGCGTGACTCCATTCGTTATCAGAGAAATTGTGCAATTCCAAAGACATGCCATCAAACAATTATGCCTCTCTGTTATTAAGGCCTCATATACTCACCCATGCTTCGGTAGATTTGGCAAGCACGTGCCAAATGAGATACAACATATGAATGGCTTCATGAGAGCTGTGAAGTGAAAAATCCTCATCCATATCAGTGTAGAAAAATACTTTGTATGAGTAGGGGGTAAATGGCCTTTGTGTTCTACATGTGCTTCAATTTCAGGAAGTCAATTATTTGGACACTTACCCATATCTCTTGTTATCTGCAGATGGAGCACTACTTCAACTCCAATTGCTCCTTCTGGAATTACTCTGAGAGGAGTATGATGGGCTACTGGTCCACACAAGGCTGCAAACTCCTGGACTCCAACAAAACCCACACCACCTGCTCATGCAGCCATCTTACCAACTTTGCAGTCCTCATGGCACACCGCGAAATCTCAGTAAGTCACTTTTTTAGAGGACCCCCCTCCCCATCTTTAACCTACTAAAATCCTGCGTCCTCATATGAGGACATTGCATTTTTGCCTCTCTGTACCATGATGATATCTTTTTTCAGCTTTGACATATTCACCAAAACTTCTTCTTGTGCCACAACAGAATCTAGTTAATAAGTTTCTGAGCTCCTAATAATCCAATATATTTTGAAATGCAATAACTCTAAGGAGGTTAAGTTTTCTTTAAAGTGTGAAAAATTCATTGTTTTAAACCTGAAATTAAAGTAAGGGAATAGTGAAGTTGTTCCAGCATAAGTTAGAATATTCATTTTACATTTATTTATTAAATATCCAGGTGAAAAGACAAAAAGCACATGAAAACAGGCCAATTTTGTGAGCTTCAAGGATGTTTTTACTTTATTTTTAGCTAATTCTTTGCTCCGACAGAAATGTCCTGGGGCATGTTTTGAAGTTTATTTAGCAGACAGATGAGAACATTTGGTTGCAGAAGTTGATGCATGAATATAGGTTTAAATGTTCTTTTGTTTTTTTTAACCTTTGAAATATTGTCAATATGTTTTCCCATTGACAGAGAACAGTGTTTGTGGGACTGTGTGCTTATTTATTTAACTCATGGGTTATACAAATCTTGAAAGAGGGCATGTACATCAAAATGAGTACCATGCAATTCTATATATCACAAAATGTTTTCATCTCTCTGCTCAGCGCCAGAAGAAAAATGTGTTTACTTTCACTTCCACACATATAATTTGTAAATTGACATTCGACTCTGTGCTCTTTTCCAGGGCAACATTAGAGATCATCATGAGCTGCTCCTTACTGTCATCACTCGTGTCGGCATTGTGGTGTCCCTCGTCTGCCTCACCATCTGCATCTTCACGTTCTGCTTCTTCAGGGGCCTACAGAGCGATCGCAACACTATCCACAAGAACCTGTGCATTAATCTCTTCATAGCAGAGTTAATATTCCTAATTGGGATCGATATGACAGAACCCAAGGTAAGCTGGATGGACCTCACCCTATTGATTTTGTTGTGATTAATTCTCTTACTTTTTATCTCCTCTCAAAACAAAAGACCCTAACAGGGCTAAATGGAAGGGAATTTAGGCATTGTTTATTTCTAACCTTCCCCGCCTGTCCCTGACATGACATGAGTGAGACAGCACCATTAATACAGATTACTAAGGAGGCATGTCTTACATTTGACAGGTCCTTTTTTCCCACTTTCACTTAAAGCCACCGTTGCTGTCGCAAAGCCTGCATACACACTGTTTTTTACTCTCTTTTTTTAAACCACATTCTTCCCTCAATCTCAAGAAATACAAAAGCATTTTACTGTATGCTGCTGGGGAAAGTTTCTAGTACTGAACCGCATGTTCTAATTTATTAACCATATCCTCACAATGTGCTTGACATTTTAATTTCTGCTGTGCTGCTGGAAAAGCAAGCTTTTGTACAGCCAGACCCAATGTGACTGCATGAATATTCATTAACATTTTTAATCAATTTTATATATATTCCGCTGAAAGAGACGAGCAGCGATGGTAAAACTGATCTCTTCAGTTAGATTTTTACAAATATGGTTGGGCCAGAATAGAAATACTGTCTCATTTCTGTTTGTCATGTATTGACGTCATTATTATTGCTATGTTTCCTCTTAGATTGGGTGTGCCATCATCGCTGGTATTCTACACTTCTTCTTCTTGGCTTCCTTCTCCTGGATGTGTCTTGAGGGAGTCCAGCTGTATCTCATGCTTGTGGAAGTTTTTGAGAGTGAATACTCACGGAAAAAGTACTACTACGTGTCGGGCTACCTCTTCCCCGCCATTGTCGTGGGTGTCTCTGCTGCCATCGACTACGGGAGCTACGGGACCAGGAAAGCGTAAGTGGCCACCCCCCCCCCTTCCCGAAACCAGGCCCCGAAATGACAGGTTAGCAGATGTGCCACTGTGAGCTCACCTGCTGTGTCTCCGTGTGGCAGATTTAGCCGAGAAATCAACTCATTTGTGCCCGTACCTTTTTTTCACATCCCTGGAGGCCACACCAAAAAACATCTGAGCTCTATTTGCCAGGGATGGGCAGCTATTCAATTTTTCATGTCATTTGAAAGTGGCTGACAGACCCGACGCTGTGGTTTTTACTGGAGGGTGCAACTACATTAATGCCTGTCTGTTCAAAGACCCTCCTGTGACCTCTTGTTTGTTAATGCCCCCTTAAAGAGACTAGCACTGTGCAGAAGAAGCCTTTTACATAGATTAATGACCATATTGCAGCTAAGACTTGGCAGTAACAACAGACCACTTTGTGTCATTCCTCTGTTTTGTAAAAATGTATTGCATATTGGTACAACAAAGAATAGTCCTCACAGTGAATATTCTTAGCTCAAGCAACCAAAATGTGATTTTTGGCATCTATCTGTTGGAAGATGATATTGTGTGTGCTGCCTAAAGCTGAAGCATGTGTTTCTCATAGGTGCTGGCTAAGTGTGGACAATCATTTCATATGGAGTTTTATTGGCCCTGTCACCTTTATCATCATGGTAAGCTATTTTATATTTTGCTTTGAATAGTGAGACCGAGTGCAGAAGGGACGTAGAGTGCAAGATGAAAGAGATGTAGGAGGAAGACAGACAAAGTGAGATGATTGAACTGCAGGAAAAAGTCGGCTGGATTTTTTTCTTTTTGGCCCCTGGTCTCTTCAGCGATGACAGGTTAATTCTGAGCCAAAGACAGGTTTCGAGGCACCCAAAAACTCTTTGTGCTTCTCATCGCCTGACAAGAATCAGGACTTGACGGTGCTCTTTAACCTCACATTTGTACAACTTTGTGAAGTGCGATTACGTTATGGCCCAAGGTATTGTCACTTCACAAAGCCGATACATTGGGAGAATATTAAACATTGTCTTAATGTATTTAGGAATGTAGGTTGTGCCGGTTACGCGGCAGATTGGGAATGTTAGAGTTCGTCACTTGGTTTAACCTCTCCTGCCTTCGCTTCCCTAAGCGCTCGTCTGCTTTTTTGGCAAATAGCAGATGGCAGTGTCAGCAAAAGAGAAAGCAAAGGCAACTCTTTTGTTTGGTCAAGGACTGTCAAAGGTGAGGGACATATTGCCTATCATATTGACTTATGTCCCAGAGAGGCGTGAAATTATTTACTGGTCATGACATTATTATCTCCTGCGCCATCAGAGAGGCTCAGAAGAATTAGACCTCAGGGAGTCTGACTTCCCTGTATTAAAGAGAATAAATAAATAACGTGCGGCGTCCCTCACATACATCCTCTCAGCCTTCCGCTGCATGTCTGATTTTGCCCCTCGTGCACGCCAAGGGACCAGGAAGCTCTGCAAACTTGTCTTACTGGCTCGCGGGTGGGGTGGGGGGGGGGGCATCGGGTGGTATTTGTTCAGCACTGTGTTCATTACACAATCTAATGGTGGCCATACTATCTGCAAATGCAGTGACCTCTGTTGAACATCAAGCTGACACAGAAAAAATACCAGAGGGACGGGTCACCCGTGTCAAATTCCAGCGAGTGTCTGCACCTTATCGGCAGACTCTTCCAAGCTCCAAGTATTGCTCTTTGCTGGTACTGGCAGGATAAATAAAAGACTAATCTGCTCACTGGACTGCATTTAACACTTTTTTTTAATAAAAAAAAAAGAAACATTGCTTTTCAATGATGCATTTACAGGCCACCAGACGAAGGCCAATGCGCAACCAAAAGGTCTTTGAATAAATACTGAAATGCTTCATTTCTTCTTTTCTTTTCTCTTTTGTGTGAGCTTTTTAATTGAACAAAAAAACTCACATTGTATCAAAGCAAACATACATTTCTCCCCGCCTCGGAAAATGCGCCGTCAGCCGCACAGGAATGCATTTCCTCTTCTTAAATTGTGCCCTCATTGTTTTCCAATCGAGTGTTGCTTTCATAATAATCTGCATGAAAAATACGTCTGCAGTGGAAATGATGATCGGGATCCCAGCGGTGATGACCGGAGAGATAGAATCATGACCCTTCGAGGAGCTAATGTATTGTTGCGGAGCTAATGTGTGACAGGAATGGGGTTTTGTTGCACTGGCTCCGGCTTTGCTCACTGCCTCTCTGGTTCAATGCAACAATTGTCTCATAAAGACAAAGCACCCCAGAAAGGGACACCCCGGGGGACTGTGCAGTAGCGGGGTTTGTCGACATCATCCATGACCCTGGTTTTTCTCTACAAATTGGCTTTGTCCTTGTCAATGTGAGAGAGAGGGGTTGGACTCGGCACATGAGCGAGAGAAAAGGAGAAAGCGTTGCAACTTTGGCTTATGCGGAGGTCCTCGCCGGTAACCCAAACTATGTTTGGCCTAGGGTAGTCGCGTTTTAGCAGCTTTTATGCAGCAGAAAATAGTCCTAAATACTGAGTGAAAACCAAAGCCGGGAGTAGGCATTTAGATCCGTGTTCCTAGGCAGAGGTCGCTTGTCTCCGGGCACAGGAGGTATTAGCTCCATGAAAGGGGAACATGGAAGTAATGAGTGGTGGGGAGAGCCATTAGTATGCTTGAGATAGCTTCAACCCAAGGCCTCTTGGATCATGACACGTCGCGAGCAGTTCTTGTCATGTGGACAGCTCCATCTGCACCTTTAATATTTTATCCCCGGCAGTTCATTTGAAGTTCAGTGTGTACACACACAGTCCACTTCAGAAAAAAGCTTTCTCCTCGGTCCCAGTGAGGCGAGGTGCTTCTGCATGGCTTGCAGTGATGATTCAGAGACAGAGTGAAGGATAAAGGCAAGGCAGCTCCGCTCCAGCAAGAGGGATCCCCCGGGAAGGGCTGCGAAAGCATGTCAGTGGGGGTGGGAACATGTGCCATGCTGCTAGGTTACTTTAAAGTACTGTGTCCCTCTCCTCTGTCTCATTGGATCCATGTCACCACTCCATGTGTGAAAGGGTTTTTCAAAAGTCATCGCCCACCTATTCCTCTCTCTCACCCTCACTGTCTGACTCATACAGACGGCTGACAGAAATAATGGCTGATAGCTGTGAAACAAAACATAGTTTCAGTGCCGCCTGTGATATAAATGTGGGTTCATGATTTTCGTCCCCACCTCTCTCCGTTTTTTTTTTCTTCTCTTTCCCTACACTCCCTTCCTTGGAGAGCCTGGCTTATTGTGTGCGGCCCCATGAGTTGATTGCATGTGGAGGGGGTGATGTATTGATCACAGGCAGTCTTTTGATAGTTGTGTGCACCCGAACACAGAGAAATTTATGCTCAAGGGTGAATGGCTGTGGTCTGAGCCCGGCTCACAAAGGTCCCCTCGTATTGGCAATTCATCTCCATTTTTCTTTCTGGCACTCTAAAAATAACGCTGCAATGCAGCGTTTGTAAGGTTCCTCAGGAAAAAAAAAGAAGCTTTTTTTTTTTTTTTTGCCATTGCAAATGTGTTTATTTGTGTGTTTTGCTTCCTGATGCATTGTTACATGTGTTTGATCTTTTGATGTGCTCCATTGGAGACACACATCTCAATTTTTCTTCCTCAGACATTCCTTGACATTATTTATACATGGCTGGCTTGCAGTACAAACACAGTTTGGTACATCTGCCGTGAGTGCTTGTACACGCTGTGCTGAGGACAGGTTTGCAGCAGAATAAATGTTTTGAAGTAAATTATTTGGAGGAGCGCCTTGCTGGACCGTTCAGCCATTGTGTTTCTAAATCACACTATTGATTTTTAAGGTACCAACAAAAAAAGATTTTTATGGTACCAAATAAATGTGCTCAGAAACACAGCACATGGTATCCTTGCCTGAACCTGATATGTGCCACCCTCTACCTTGAGATTTCATACAAGAACGCTCCCTCTCCCCTTCCCTCTTTCTATTTCGCTCTTTTGATCAGGACACAGAGGGGAATCAAGGAAAATATACCATGTTCCCTCAAGCCTTTTGTTGGTGGTTATACCTTATAATATTTCACTATGTGCATAAGATGATATGCAGTTGTTTAGTACAACACGGGGCTCTCTTATTTCTCCCGTTACTTTTCTGACATAGCCAGACGGCTGTTGTGTGGCTGTTTCTTTTTTTTTTTTTCTTTTCCTTTCTCAGTGATGGATTTTAATGCATTTCCATGCTCTTACTGATATAGAATGACACTAAATTTGGCGCCAGTCGGCCTGTCTGAGACTAGCTGGAACGATAGATGTTTATTGGATTAGTCTGTGGACATGCGGAGTGAAGGCTCTCCGCTTTTAATACTTATAGTCAAATTAACAGTTTTTTCTCTCTCTCTGGTGTATCTTGAGTTATGCATCTTCATGAATTAACACTGCCATTATTCTGTTTTGACAGCTCAATCTCATCTTCTTGGTGATCACAATGTACAAAATGGTGAAGCACTCTACCACCCTGAAACCAGACTCGAGCCGACTGGAGAATATAAAGTAAGTGAAGCGTCTTATGCCGAGCCTCAACCTCCTCCTTTGTGTCTGCAGATTAACACCGGTGCCTCTTCTCTGAGGAATGCGAGGCTATTTTGTTCTTGAGATGCTGTTTTTTCCCTTTTCATCGAGCGCCTCTAAACAATCATTGTAAAAAATATGAGTAATTGAATTTATGTCTTTGTCGTTATTTTTCTTTTGAACCTCTGAATGGCTTTGGTTTGACCTTTATCCAAATCAGACGGGACATTTAAAAGATGGCTTTGACTGAAATGTAACACAGTTTTTTTGAGTTACTCCGCTGGAACGACTTAACCGTCATGATGACTCAAAGTACTTTGTAAGCCTCATTTTCATGCTGTGTTGTTTGCTCCAAACCACGAGCTGCAGAACTGCACCATGATGGCAGACATCACTCTCAGGGCCATAGCTTAAGCGTGCACGCCCGGTTGGGTGGGGCGCAAGTGGAACAGCTACCATGTGTGTGTGTGTGTGTGTTTGCCACTGGAACATGTCTACCTATATCCCTTTTAAAGATATCAGATTGTAATGCAAGAGAGAATTTTCTATTTTCCCAAAGGGCGCCACTCCGGCTGATCATCATCGCTCCGGCTGAGGCTTTTTTACTGTGACATTTCTGTTTAGGAGGGATTCATGGTCCTTCCTTATCAATAGAGCGGTGTTTGTTGTTGTTTTCTGAAGGACATCTTTCATTTGCGGCGGTATGCGCTTGTTTGCTGCGGTAGTAACGCCAGTTTGCGCCGTCATATTGCTCCAGCTCCCGCCACATGGAGCAGGAGCAGCACGGCTGCTATTTATAGTCAGTGTTTGTTATTTCGCTTTTTTTTTTTTTCCCGTTGCAAATGTGTACCACGTTACAGCACTGTGGTGAAACCGCAATCAGGGCGAACAGTCAGAAAGGGGCTTATTTAGATTTCTTGGTGTATTTGTGATAGACTAGTCCCTTATTAAGGAAACCACAGCGGAACACATTGCACTCGGTGGCTTTCCGATTGGTGTGCACTTTCACCTCGGATGTTAGAAATTATTTAATCGAGGCTTGTTTATACTGGAAAAACACACTGTTTACTAATAGATGTTTCTCTGTGGTCATTTTCTTTGTGTTCTTTGTGCCAGAGTTTGCTCTGAGAGTCAATTTAGCACAAGGATCATCGCATGTTGCATGAGAAAGCAAAGCTAACGCACACCCTCTCCTTTTTTTTCTCTTCTCATCCTCTTTCTCTCTCTCTGTTCTGTGATCCACACCAGTAATTATCGCGTTTGTGATGGCTACTATAATACAGATTTGCCTGGGTAAGCTTTTACTATGCACCTCAAATAATATTACCCACACACTACCCACCCATCAGTAGCATAAATGTAAATCTAACAATCAATCATCAACAAAAAAAGCAAAAAAAACATACAAATCTCAGTTCTTGTTAGACCCTTAATTTCATTGCCTCCCGTGATTTCCCTTGGATCAAAGTTGAAGATATAATACCAACTAACCCACGCTGTTCTGCGCTCTGATCTAATTGTGTTTTTCTCTTCCTGCCTATCATGCTCTCTAGCTATGAAGATAATAAACAGTTTATCAAGTAAGAACATGTTGCCCAGAAGTCTTCTATGGAGCATATAGTTTATTCTCTCCTTTCTCCCTTATTTGTCCTTTTTTTCCCCCAAACTCTGTCTATCTTTTTTTTCCTTTTTCACCCACTCATTCTCTCTCTCAAACTGCAGCTTCAAAGCTTCTCGTCCACCGTCCTTATGGCTGGTCACAGTCGCCATTTTCATGAGTCCAGTGTTGTGGTTATTGTTGTGTGTGTGAGCATTGAACTGTGACCGCTCTTGGTGTCTGAAGGCCCCCACAGGACCTTTACACACAAAGCAGGAATCTTTCCTGGTACACCTTTCCACATATGCCTTGTTCTCCAGCTTGGATATCATACTGTAGACCACTGTTTAGTGTGTAATATTATATCTAAGGCTATTTTTAAACAAACCCAGCTCGTGTTATGCTTTTTGGTATGTTTAACACATAGAAATGTATTCACAGAGAATACACTTTGTCTAAAAGGCAGAAATTACACAGAGTGTTGTATTAAGGTGTTTTAGCAAGCAGAGGCTGGGGTAGATATGTGGGCTTATGTGTTTTTGTCATTCTTTTTTTTAATGTTCTTGGCACTACAAGTTTCCCTTTTTAAACTTTTCTCAGCAATAACATTTTGTTGTTAAAAATCCTAATTTCCACTTGTTCACTGAACACCTCTCTTGTTGGATTTTTTCCTCTTCTTGTTTTTTTTGTTTGTATCACAAAGATCCTGGGTCATGGGGGCTTTTGCCCTGCTGTGTCTGCTGGGTCTCACGTGGTCCTTCGGCCTCTTCTTCATCAGCGAGGCCTCGATTGTAATGGCGTACCTCTTTACAATATTCAACACCTTCCAAGGAATGTTTATCTTCATTTTCCACTGCCTTCTTCAGAAAAAAGTAAGTTTCCCTCTTATCTGCTTTACTGAAGCTTCATGATTTGCCCTTCAACTCGAAAGGCATTTGAAAGTTTTAGCATTCTGTTCTTCTAAATTGTCTTGCATTCTAATATAAAGACCAAACAGTGCTTGCTTTGATATCGTGGCAAAGTCATTTTTAAAGTCAACAGTCTGTGTGAGCGCTCGGCTGTTTGCTCATGCAGGTCCGCAAAGAGTACAGCAAGTGCTTCCGCCACACGTACTGCTGCGGCGGGCTGCCCACGGAGAGCTCGCACAGTTCTGCAAAGACCTCCACCACGCGGACCAGCGCACGCTACTCTTCTGGTACACAGGTAGGGCGCCAGCTTTGCACATTTGAAGTCTCGCAGAGTGCGGCGTTCACAGAGAGGAACAGCGTCTCCTCTCATTAGGCGAATAATTCACAGGCTGTAAGAGTAAAATGTTCAGACCCATCTTACACATTTAGGTTTGTTTCATATGCATATTGAAATGACTTATTTCTGCACACAATAATCAGTAATGACAAGGCCATTTTTTTATATTATTCTGATCTCCCCACAAATGAAAGATTATTATACTTTTTTAAGCTTTAGTCTCGCTCCATTAGTGGTATTTCAGACACAGATATCTTAGGTTGTGCCGTCCAACTAAAGTGAGTGACCTAAGATGGAGGTCTTTGATGGGCAGGTAACCAACAGTCCACCGAAAGAGGTGTAGAGTTCCTTTCTGAAGAGATAGGAGAACTTCACAGAGTAAAGAGCATTAGTGCAGCTCTCAGGAAATCGGGAGAGCGGCCAGAGAGAAGCCATGCCTCGCTAAAAGACAGCCTCCCGGGAGTTTCCTAAAAGGCAACCGAATATGTCTCAGACCTTGAGAAGCTAATTTCTCTGGTCTAATAAAAAAAAAAGAAAAAATCAACCCTCTAGCCAAAATTCCCCACAGTGGGTGAGGGTTCACAGACACATTGCCTAATTCAAACCTTCCTTAAAGTCAGACATAGTGACGGCGGTATCATTATGATGGAAAAGCCTACCTGTGATTAGGACTGGGAGGCAAACAAACAAAGAAACACTCAAACTTTTACATAAAGAAATGCAAAACAAACATATGTCCAATACCATTTTAACATGAATTTGAAACATAACATGTGTAAGATTAGAAATGGTCTGAAATGTTAAACCTGTGCTGTAATGTCTAAATGATTCTTACTGAGGGTTTAATTATCAGAGGCAGATTAATAGACACCAGCATTATTCTATACTTTGCAATCAGCACCTGCAGCGCTGCATGAACAGCTTTTTTCTGCTCTGAGCCCCTTTTAGCATTTGCTTTTATCTTTTTTTCCTCACTAACGTCGAATGCATGGAATACTATATTGTACTATTTAAAGAAAAATTAAGGCACTTTTTACCGTAGGGAAATCCACATTTGGAAATAAATAAAGCTGTACAAATTTAAATCATCCAATCCCACAGTCTTAAAAAAGATGCTTTAAAACACTCAAACAATGAAAGTGAAGTTTAGGACCATCTTCCTCTCCCTGTACATTAGAAGGCTGGTTAAGGTGTAACATGGCCTGCAGAATAAACGCTTGTCAGAGTCCTAACGACTGTCCCTTGTTGACCTGACAGAGCCGTATCAGAAGAATGTGGAATGACACCGTAAGAAAGCAATCTGAGTCCTCCTTTATCTCAGGTGACATCAACAGCACCTCTACCCTTAACCAAGGTCAGTTCACAACTCATCTCTCTATACACCTATGCAAACATTTCATCACGCAGCTAACAGTATCACCCTCGGGTTCCAGTGTTCTCACTATTAGACAGGGTGCAAGCAATTGTAATAAATGCCCTCGGCCTGAAAAGACAGAGTTGTATGATTAATAAAAGAATGAAGGGGGAAGACAGCGGTTTTCTAATATTGGTGTCGTATAGGGACAAGACTGTTTATTATTTAAGGGCTGCATGTCCATACCCGGGGGGTGGGGGGCGGGGGGGATTTTTCAGAAAAATCTCTACATGCAGCAAAATGCCATTTGTTGCCTCCCATATACAAGGTTACTCTAAGTGGGGACTTATGAAGACTGGAAGAAAAAAAAAGCTATCATTCATTATTTAGCTTGAGCACAAATATGATGATGAGAAGATGATGTTCAACTCTGGATGACCCAAAAATCTTAGTGTGTTGTCAGGCTTTCTTCTGCCTCTGAAATGACTCTCTATGCATGCGAAGGGAAAGAGGGTTTACACCAAGGTAGTTTAACTTCCTCTTCTTTTACTTCTGCCACTTTCGCCTTTTGCATTCCTCATCCTTTTTTATGTCACCTCCCAAAAGATAGAACATTACATCGAGGGCTATGAAGCATGTTTTGACTTGCTGATACATCAGTAACACTATGGAGTTTGGGTTTTTTTTACCCCTACAGAACCATTATCTGGAGATGTTAATGCAAAGGTTGGATATTGATCACTACAGGGTGTAGTAGTTACCCTGGAGAGTTAGTGCACTGAAGGAGGGCTCTATCTCCTAGAAGCTCTTCCATGTCATTAAAAACATCCCTGGAGACCTCTCAACATGACAGATGGCATTTAACATAGGTGATAAATGGCAGTGGAAATACCTCAGATCCTTAAAACACACTGCAAGCTCGGAAGAAAAATGAGGGAGATTAGGCTCAGGGAGATAATGGCTAATTGAAATTTTTAATGTGAAAACTTGGAAGGATTCACCTGTCTGTCAGAAAGGAGAAATTATATTTGGGCTTGTTTGGAATGGAGAAACTTTGCTTAACCATTGTAATTTGCAACGCTGTTTTTGAAAAACGATAATAGGAAAATTTCTGTTATGAAACAAACTGATATGGTTGTAAATTGGTCAGTTAAAAAATTTGCTATGAAAGACTTGCAACACATTGCAAATGAAGCAGAGGAAGGCCTGAGAAAAGTTGCATAGTTTCTGAGCTCTCATGCTATTTAAGGATTTTAATGGATTTTTAATTCTTAATCTAAATCTATCCGAAAATCCATTCACAACTCTTAAATAAACACCCGGTCTTCACATTTTGGGTTTTATTTATTGTGACACGACGCAACTCACAAAACAAATTTTCTGCATTTCTCTTTTTCTTCATGAAACGTCCTGTGAACTTACAAACTTATCTTCTGCTCCTCCTCTTTTTTCACCAACCCAGGAATGACCGGGAATTATCTACTAACAAATCCCCTTCTGCGACCACAAGGCACTAACAACCCTTATAACACCTTGCTGGCTGAGACAGTCGTGTGTAACACCCCCACAGCTCCAGTGTTTAACTCGCCAGGTGTGCCTATTTAATTCTTTCATCAGAATTCTGCCTTTTCTTACCCCTCCTTTCTTTCTGTCGCACTCCAGTCGAGTTTATGGCACACCGATTGAAAGCAGTATCAACTTTCCATCTGAATCGCAGTCTCCCAAAAGCTGGATGTTGTGCGTTGCGTGTGTTGCACGCAGACAATCTACATTATTTGTGGGTCTCTGTGTGACAACGCACGTTTTTTGGGGGGGTTTCTTTCACGCATGACAGAGATTTGTGTGGTTCACCTCGATCCAGCCCCTGCGTCCTCGTATTTCTTTTTACGGGACATAATGATTAAGATGGGAAAGAGATACTACATGTTCTGCCTCGAGATAATGTAAACAGTGCTGTAGACCTGAAGCTGTAGCATAAACTGCATGATCCTTAAGATTTATTTTCCCTGACCTAAGGAGGGAGATTTCTTTTTTCTTCTTTTTGTAAGCATGAGAACATATCCCCTTAACAGAATGCACGTGTATAGATTAAACATTTGATAATATATTATGCCAGCAGAGACTATCAGGAAATAATTATTGTGCCTTGGTAACAAATTTTATTTAAAAATCATGCCGTAAAAGACTGCTGTGATTTTATGTGCTTTCCTACTCTGAGACTGAAATGGCATATTTTGTCATGTTTTGTGCTTTTCCCTTGTGCTTTCCTCTAGTGACCTACAGAGAGACAAGTATGGGAGTAAAACTTAACTTTGCCTATCAAATGTAAATTTTTTTCAGCATGCTTATTAAAAAAAAAACAACCCAAACCCTGGCACAATCACTGGTTTACTTTTAGGCCATTAACACACACTCAGTGAGCAAGTGGTTCACAAAATTACTCATCTAAATTCCTATCTGAAAGAAAACTAAAGGGTCATTTGCACTGATCTTCCAGATTAATTACCCATGCCCCCTACCTCTTCCATTATATTTGTTATTTCAAACTCAAAATGCGTTGCTATTTTTTCTGTCAGGAAAGGCAAATTGATAAGAAAGGTTTTTCTTTTTATTTATTTTTCTACTTTATTTATTTTGCTCTTATTTTGTGGCACTCTGCAATCTCAGTGTCCAGTAGCATTCCCGTCACACCTGCCTGGACACTAAATTGCCTCAACACACTGATGTCATGGTAGCAGCTGCTCAGCTTCCCTTGCTTTCTTTATTCTAATTCCCTCTTTTTCTCTAACATATTCTCTAAAAGCTGCACATTTAGTATGCTTTCTGTAACCCCAGCTCCCTATGTCCCGTCTTTTTTGGGACACTGACAAATGTTGCCTCGAATCCCTACAATAACCCCATCTTTATCTTCTCACATTTTTGTACAAAGAGGTCTAACTGCCATGGCGGGGCACATTTTTTTCTCTCTATCTCCTCTTTCAATCATGGCACAAAAAAATATTTGTATTTCTTGCCGTTGCTTTTCCGTGACCTCTATGCTTTGAGAAATTCCTAACATGACTGCAGCTGACCTCGGCAGGGGCTGTGTTTTTCTTGAGCTGTTCTGCTAGTGACTGGGGTCTCACTGGGAACTGTTACTGTGACGGATGCCAAGTGCCGGGCTGTGGGCTAGCTCTGACCTTTACCAGCTTTGGGTACACAAGATGCCAACTAATGGACAGCAAGTGTACCGACACAAAGTCAAAGGGGGGGGGAAAAAAAGGAACAAGAAAAAGAAAAAAGAAAAACGGAAAATCTCTCACAAAATATCTTTTGGCAATTAATTCACAGAAGTCAAAGCAGTGTAATGCTTGCCTATTTTTATTTGCTGAACCCTTGCTCTTGCTAAGTTGCAGTTAAGGCTTTTACTTTACATTTTGTTGTTTTTGTTTTTTGTTTGGCTTTTGTTTGAAATGAATATTCATATTACAATAAATCATTTTACTTTCTTTTATACATCAGCTGCTCTTAGACCAGATAGCCTGAGCAGACAGACATGATGTGAGTTGTCTAAAGTGAGTCTTTTCACCTGCTGTGTGTGGTGATGGTGGAGTGCTGCTTGTGGGCTCCCCTTGTAGCAAAAAGATGGCTGCCCCATGTTAATACATGACTACTTTCCCTTTTCTGTATTTGTCATCTTTTCCCACCTCTATCCTTTTCTTTACTTCAGCACATCCAACCTATTAGTTGCTAGACAAACCTGTAAGTGTTGTAGCTTGCCCGTTTTTGGCTGTGGATTTGTGGACTTCTGCCCGGTGTGTTGTGATGGTGCTCACCGTTTTAGTTTGTTTGTTAATGTTGTTTGGGATCTTTTTCATTGCTTCGTCACACACGTGGCAGGCCTAAACACTTACTTCCCTGCCTCTTTTGCAGCAATGTATTGAAAGGGAAAGTCGAAATGTATGTATGAGAAAGTAAAATGATTTCTCATTGCAAATAAAGCATGTCTATGTTTTGTACATTAAGGATTGTGCCTAACTAACAGAATTATGGCATGGCTTCACATGAGTTATCGACATGAAACTGCATCCTAAACAGCATTAATCTTTTTTTTTTTAGTTCTTCCTTGTTTGTCAGTTCTGTTTAGTGCATATCCCCTCTCACATTTTCCTTTTTTTTTCCAGGGCACTCACTGAACAATGTGGTGAGGGATACAAGTGCAATGGATACTCTACCGCTAAATGGTAACTTTAACAATAGCTATTCACTCCGCAACGGGGACTTTGGTGACAGCGTGCAGGTAGTGGACTGCGGCCTCAGCCTGGACGACGCTGCCTTCGAGAAAATGATCATCTCCGAGCTAGTGCACAACAACCTGCGTGCCTGTAACAAAAGCCACCAACAGCAACAGCAGCAGCACTCCAGTTTACACCACCCGCCCCACCACCACCACCACCACCAGCAGCAGCAGCACCCGCCACAGTACCACCATCACCACCACACGGAGCGGGCTCCTCCCAAGGTGACGGTGGTAGGTGGCAACGGGCGCGGCGGGAGCGGCGCCATCGTCGCGGACGCGTCTTCTCTGGTCCACGTGGGCGGCACGGTGCTGCGCCACCAGCAGGAGCTGGAGGCGCCGCTCATCCCCCAGCGGACTCACTCGCTTCTGTACGCGCCGCAGAAGAAGGTGAGGACCGACGGGGGCGTCGACGCCTATGTCAGCCAGCTGACGGCCGCCAACCCCGACGACAGTCCCCAGTCCCCCAACAGAGACTCCTTGTACACTAGTATGCCTAATCTGAGAGACTCTCCGTGCCCCGAGAGCAGCCCCGACGTCGTGGAGGACCTGTCCCCCACCAAGAGGAGCGAGAATGAAGACGTTTACTACAAGAGCATGCCTAACTTAGGGTCCGGCCACCAGCTTCAAGCCTATTACCAAATAGGTAAAGGGAGCAGCGATGGTTTCATTATTCCTATTACGAAAGAGGACTGCATCCCCGAAGGTGATGTACGGGAAGGACAAATGCAGTTAGTAACAAGCCTTTAAATGTATTTAAATCAGCCCCAAAACTTCCCGGCCCTCGCACAAACCCTGACTGCAGGACACACTAGTGAAGGCCTGGGAAGTATATATAAATATTTTTTTCGTTTTTGAAGAGAGCCTAGAAGCCCCCCGTCACACAATCTTTCCATTAACAAACCCCTCCCTTCCCCCATTTGCATTGCCATCTCTTTTTCCCCCTCTGAATCACTCCACTCGTCCCATCTTCTTACCTGCAGACCAACAGACTCGGAGCACACCAATGGCAGTGCAAAGTTTTAAGAAGACTGTATATAAAATGCAGAGTCAGATTTCAATTTTAAGAGACAAGCCAACTATGTATTTAAATGTGCTGCTGCTGTTGAGTAATTGAAAAAAAAATTAAAAAAATTATTTTAAAAAAGGTTAAAAAAAAGAAGGAAAAAAAAAACAGGCATTACTGGCTACATTCAATCAGTTTCCCTATCAAAAGGTTGTACATACACTCCCCAATGTTTAAGTTGAAGATTGATTTTTATTCTTGTGAAGAAGAAAAAAAAACCCTCCTGGACCGGGACGTGGACATGTTTGTGAAATGTTCCTGATCAGACTGTTAGAAAAGGAATATGAGGTCCTGGCCACTCTCCATCACCATGAAGTTTGGATTGTATAACCACTAGCAATCAAGCCCCTGGCCTTATATTTTCTCAACTGTTCCTTGAACTCTTGTCAAGGAAATCTGCTAAAATATATATTTTGTTGTATTGCCAGTGTAAAGTAAAACTTCATGGGAAGCAGTAAATATAAAGAAACCTTTTAATTTCAAAATTTAACATTTAAAAGACTATTGTGTAGAAGATGCACATATGTTATACAGTGTGTTTATGGTTCCAACACTTCATTTATGGTAGTATGTTTGAACGTAAAGAAAGGTGGAGTCAACCAATTACAAATATGCATCATCACTTTCTTCACTTGTGAACAGTGTTTCTTGCTTAATGAGTTTGTTGATACTGCCCATTAAAATATCTTAATTTGACTTTGCCAAAGTGGCATTCCTTCAATCGAATGGGATCGCATCAACCAAGTTAAGGAGAATCTTTCTGGGTTGCACAGTTATTTGTGTAATTTTGATTGAAACAGATCTTTTTAACAGTCACTGCAAAGTGTTGGGCAAGCGCAACTGAATCAAAACCGACTTTTAGCGATGAAGTTTTTATCATACATGTAGTTCTTCCGCTTGGGTTTGGATATTCTATTTATTAAAATCTTTCCAAAAATAGATGGGGGAATGTGTGAATATTTTCCAGCACTGGTAAACATGCTGTACTGTAGCTCATGTTTTTTATGTAAACATAAGGGGCTCATCACTTAAGACTGATGTAAAGTTCAACACTTGTTTAACAAATACAATAAATGTGAGATTTTTTGTCAAATGCCAGTTGCTTTTTAATGGTTTGTGTTTTTAGTAAAGTTTTAGAAAATAAAACAGGTTTGATTATTTTGCTATGGACAAAATACACTTGACTCAGGTTATAAGTAAGTCCCGAGCACCTTGAAAGGCAAATTGATCAATTTGTTTTCTGAAGGATTTCTTTTCTTTTTTTTTTCTTTTTTTTTTGCTAAAGCCGCTGCGGAGTAGAGTGAGCTCATTCCACCGTGTGTGTTAGAGAAGCCAAATTTGTCCATGTGATTCAAAGATGAGAAACTCAGGTAGGAAAAATTGCATTGTAAATGTTACTCTGTGTGGTTGTAACACTAATAAAGGTTAAAAAAAATGACACTGGTTCAAAGCATTGTCCACTTAGTATATTATTAAATGAGCACTAGGTCTAAGGGTCTGACACTGCTGAAACGCTGTTATCCGATGTTGGCTATAAGAGTGGGCCTAACAAGGGGTCAGTGTTACACATGGTTGCAGTTGTAGATATATATAATACATGCTATGACATATATTTGCTCTAATTAATGTCTACTGCTGCTGAAGTCCACGGCTGGCTCCTGTATAATTTATGCCTCAGGTAATGCTAATTTATGAAGCACCATGATTTAACACCATCTGAGGAAGAGTGACAGCTCCCAGCAGGGTGACTGGAAATTGCACTGTTTACCATTTGGCATTGAAGTGAATGACTCAGAACTTTGCAGAAATGCACTTTACGTCAGTGCACATAATGCTGTGTGGGCTGCTTGTTGTTTTGACTTTTTTCAACAATTATGTGACATTTTGTGCAATTATCCGAGGATTCAAATTGTCACGGAGGACTCATAGGCTTTGTTTGTGATCTCTTGTTCAGACCTCTTGAATGTCAGTTTGAAATCAAGTGTTAGTGTTGACTGTTGAAATAGAAGGTATAATGAACTATAATGATGGAAAAATGCAATTGATTTTTAACCTGAATTGTTAAGCGGCTTTATAATTCTTTACCTTCAAAATTGCATTTTCTAAATTACCGCTATCATTCATAAATATAATATAAAAGTAATAATCTTTTGGCAGTGACAATTTTACATTAGAGTGAGAGAAAAATCAATGAAAAGAGTTGGTTTAGTTGTATAACGTCATGTTCCCAAAGCAAAAAAAAAAGTGTTTGAGCGCTTCTTTACTTCAAATTCTTCATCATTTATAAAAGTGATCTTAATGCACAAGTTGGTTCTTTGCATAGACTGGTCCAAGAGCTAAATCAAGCTGCACAAGAGCTGAATATTGTATAGGTAGTACAATGAAGTTCACATTAACAGTGGAAACTTCAATGTCATTTTTTATTATTGTGTAGAAACAATTTGAGCCCATTCATCGCCTTTCTCTCTTTGTTCAGCCTCACACCGTGATTTTGGCCTAAAATAAACCGCATAGTAAGCAGGTTTATTTTCATTGTTAGGGCTAAGGAAATATGATCTGGGATTCACTATTTGTCTGCAGTAGAGAATGTGGCCCTGGCACCCTCTGGCTTTGCGTGTGGCCGCCTTGCCATGAAAGAGACTCTCTTAATTCCCTATTTTTTGCTCAGGGAGAGGCTTGCCCCTTGTCAAACATTGATTTAGAAGTAGGCCAAGTGCTGAGGGGCCGGGAGCTCAGTTATTCCCGCAGAGGAGTGAGTCGCCCCTGGAAATGAAAGAACAGAACGCTGTCAGATGGATCTAAGTGAATCTGCTCAACATAGATGTGATCATGACTAAAAAGAGGCATGAAATTCAAAAAGTGCCCAAACATTGATGGCTATTAATGTGAACACAATATCATTTTGAAAATATGTTTTTTCTTTTAGCACAGTAGGTCAATTTAACAATTAGGGAATTCAATTTTAGAAGCTTATCAATAATGACATTAGGGTTTCTTTTACATCAGCTCCATAACTTGTTGATGTTACTAAACAAAAAATTGATTTAAAAAAACATGCTTTTTATATACAAAATCTGCAACATGATGTGCCTATTTTTTTCTAGGTCTACATGAATTTATTGAAAGTTCAGTACAAAAAGTTCCTCCCCAAACCCTCAAGGATTTTGGGGTTTATCAATAACCTCTGCAGCAGTAACTCCTGTGAACAGAAAAAAAAAACACTGCTAATTATAGATGCCATCAACATGGATGAAAGCAAATGTGCACAAGCAAAGGAAAACCTCTGAAGCCACAAACAGCAACTGGCAGCGCAAAAGTAACTTCCCAAACTCTTGAAGTTAAAGAGGGTCCTTCAACTGCTTTCTCTTTTCTTCCCCCAGGCTCTTTTGTCCTGTCCCCAACTTCAAATGTGCAGATTTGTGGCCCATGGGTGACTTAGATGCGGTCCCGTCGAGGTGAAAAATCCAATTAACCTGCAGCTCTGTTATAATCCCCTCCCATAATTATGAAATTACTAGTTGCAGGATTTCAAATAAAAAGGATGAGAGTAACTGGCTTGAGGAAAAAAAAACAAAAAACATAGATGAAATAAACTATGCCTTGCCAGGATACATTTTCCGTTCAACTCCAGGGAGAACAGCTGACTCTCGCGGTAAAATTTGAAAGTGAGATCTGTCAGAAGTCCTTTCAATCAGGATGAGAAACATCTTGACAGAAACCCTGGGGTTGAAAGATCCTAATTTAGCCATTGATATTAGTGGACAGACTCTTATATGCATGTGTTGAGACATCTGAAGCCTCTGGATGGTGGTTTAGACAATTAACTGAAACAAGCTTATCAACAAAATGGTAACTTTGATGGGGTTCTGATGGACAAATTAAATATTCTAACTTTTTAGTTAAAATTCTATAAGTTCAGAAATATATTTTCAGTCTCATACCTTGTTGTTAATCTAAAAGTTTGCAAAAGCTTGTAAAAAGCAACAATGAGTTACTGTTGCCTTTTTTAAAATCACATTTGAGCTGTGAAAAAAGGTTATGGTGATGCATTATTTGCTCTTGAAATCATAGGCTCTATTTTATGTAGTTACAGCTTTGAAAGATTACTGAGAAAAACAAGAATAAAAAATGCAGTAGTACATCCATCACTGATCTCTCATTCATCACGACCCTGTTCAATTGTTAAAACACATACAGCGTCTCATTAAGCTGGTGGCACAGGGCCCTCTACTACTCATAAAGTATTTACCACTAAAAGTTGCTGATTCACTTCAGGTAAAATTCTTATTACAAACTCAAAATGAACCATTTGTTAAGATCAAGAATGTTTTGCTTTCCATCACAGAGGTAAAACAAAAAGGAGTTTAAGAAACCATATCTAATATCAAATAAGAAGCAAATAATCCCAAATGGTAAACGTTTTTCTCTTTGTATTTGTATTTGAAAGCGCATACATTCACAGTATGAGAAAGATTACGATTCTATTTATACCTCTGCTATGACTACTTTTACTGAAAATAATGATGATTGTGGGAACGTCTCCCTGGGCCTCCCAACAAACAAAAGGAATAAGAATAGAAATTGTATATCACACAATGTTAACACCCGGTTGTGATAAATTGTATAACTCAATTTCGTTATGTTATGGCTTATCACATTGTTTTCAGCAATCAGGGACAATGTATTGTCCTCCTCTTCTGTTCAGGCCCTTCACAGCAGAAAGAGACTCCATCTCATCAGTAAATGTAATATTCATCTGATAAAATCATCGGCGCTCGCCGAAGGGGAGCCTCGAGCGATAACTACAAGAGCTCCCGTTGTGTACAAGCTTCTGCAGGCCAATATAGATAACTTCCACTCTCCGGACACCTGAGAGTAAATTTAGTATCATGCAAAATAATCCATTACGCCCCTGCATTAACTTAACATCAACATTTCTATTCAATATTTGTCATGA